AGATTCAATGACAACTCTGAGGTTGCACAGTTCCAGTCAGAGGAGTCCAAGAAGAAAGTTCAACCCAATAAGGCAGCAGGTTTTAAATGGAGGGCAAGGTAAAAACAATGGTTTTGGTTTTTGAGTAGTTAATAGGATGCAGACAAAACAGAGGCAGTGGCAGTGAAGGGATCGGGATAGGTGGGAATGAGATCGGGCTAGCAAGGTGTTCACATGGAAACCAATTAGGGTTGAACAACAAATGTTAACCTGTCAAATGATGCTCTCTGGATTGTGGCACTGACGGTACAATGTAGGTGAAGAACTGGAGGGAGGCCAAGGGAATGGTGTGGATTATGGAAGATTAACAAAGTGAAGCTTCTTTTCTTTGACTTGAGGTGACCTTGTTAAGTCTTCAAATAACTATAGAGTCTTGAAAATAAAATATTAGGACTTGTCCAAAGTAGCCTTTCAGCATAAAACTAGAATGCCGACATTAATTGTATGCTCCTGTCCTGGAACTTGAACACAGAACCCTCTACATAAAAGGGGTGTGCTACCAACAAAACCAAGTTGACAATTCAGGTTATATTCCTAAATTATGAACTTTTTGCACATGCCGTCTAGAAATGTACTTTGCTTCATATCCCAGCCACATAAATCAAGCCTTTGCCTAGTAACACTGACTTCACATGGAAATTATTTTATTGCAGAACACGATCCACAAAATGAGACGCATTTGGATTTTTAAACATCCAAAAAAAGCAAACCATTGCATAAAACAAGTGCAAATTACAGATATTAGCATAATTCTGGATTCAGTGTAGAGTCACTGATGTTTCACAAACTTGCCTTAACAATATGCATACAATTATAGCTATAAATAAGTAGGAAAATCTTACATACACTCTGCTGAAAATCACATAACAGCTTAATCCTTCTGGAATTGAACCACAATTCACATCACTTTTGTTCTTTTTTGAATCACTGTTATCCAATTTCATGAGCAGAAACTTCAACTGCTAGCACAAATGTTTATGCATCTACTTACTAATTGTGATTCAAACATTAGATTGATTTACTTAACTAGTGCTGACTACGCATCTCAACCGAAACACAAATCTTGGCCAATTACTGCATAGGTGATATATGACAAGACCACATGCCAAGGTGATTATTCAACAGGAATCCGTATTCAACAGATACGTAAGTATACAAATTATCAAACAGCCACGTTAGGAGGGAAATATTCAAACAAAGAACATAAATCTTGGAATCTCCTTTCTCAGTGCACTTGTACATCTCTGGTACCTCTTAGAAAATTAACGGTTAAGAGACACACTTTTGCTCTCCTCCTTTTTCTTCCGTTTGAAGAACCACAAGGTTGGTTTCTATCCCTTTCCTAACTCCCCACCTACACTCACCTTTACTGGCCCCATCCTCGCCTCTTCGACCTGTTTGTTTCCTCTCCACCTATCCTCTCCTCTATCCCTCTTCTATCCGCCTCCCACTCTCGCCCTATTTATTTCAGAACCCCCCTCCCCTCCCCCTTTTCTCATGAAGGGTCTAGGCCTGAAACGTCAGCCTCTCTGCTCCTACGATGCTGCTTGGCCTGCTGTGTTCATCCAGCCCTGCACCTTGTTGTCTCGGTTTCCAATCCTGTCTGGATTGGAGCCGGAGGCCAATAAAAAGGTCACAGGGTCAAAGTGCCTGATGTTTTCAGGCCACGTAACTTCACTACATGCTTCAACATCCACATCAGAGCTCAAAGGCACAGGTCTGGCTCAGCTTTTGTCTTACTGTCTAGATAGTGGTCCTTGGCCAGACCCAGGGATTTATTGAGATGTCCCACAAACTGCTTAGCTCAGATAGGTTCAAGAAGGGACTGGCTCAATATACAAAACAAAAACAAGCCATTCGGGGTGATGGTAATCAAATAAGAAACTTAATTAAAAGATATGCAACAATAATTCTTGGGAGGCATTGTCCTGTTCTATCCAACACATTAAAAATGGCTCAGGTTAAAAGATTTTGTGGCACGTCCTGAAGTTGAGAGCCTGAGGATGCCCGAGTTAGCATGGCACAGCTTCTCCCATTAAATGCTTGTTACACACGATCCCACTGCCACTCCCCCTTCATTTAACATCAGCTCCATATTTTTCTAAATACAAACCAAAAGAACTGCGGATGCTGTAAATCAGGAACAAAAACAAAGTTGCTGGAAGAGCTCAGCAGGTCTGGCAGCATCTGTGAAGGAGAAAACACAGTTAACGTTTCGGATCCGGTGACCCTTCCTCAGGAGGAAGGGTCACCGGACCCGAAATGTTAACTCTGTTTTCTCCTTCACTGATGCTCCCAGACGCTCCCAGACCTGCTGAGCTTTTCCAGCGACTTTGTTTTTGTTCCATATTTTTCTATTCTTTTCTCCCTCGTGTTTATCTCACTTCTCTTAAATCCATCTATACTAATCACCTAACAGCATCACTGGCTTCTTGCGTCCTGAGGAACTGTTTGCATACACAATCATTATCTAATGATCTCTGCTGTAAGTGTGCATGTGCAGAATTGAGATGATACATTATCAGCTAAAATTTGTTCTGACAGAGGGTGCACTCTAGTCACTTACCTCCCTCCCCTCCACAGATGCTGAATGAAGCAGGATGTTTCCACTTGGTTTATGCTTCAAATGAGAAACTGATAGGTATTGGTAGGTTGTGACCGTTTTTTCCCAATTCACAATCCATCAATGCTTACTGTCCAGGTTGACATGTTTAGTTTAGCACGGTGTTCCAGGACCATGCCTCCTTCTGGAGATGTTGACGTCATGGTAACGTCACTTGAGTAATACAAAGGCACAGGATAATGTTGAGAACATGGTTCAAATTTCACCACGACAGCTGGTGGAATTTGAGTTCAATTAATACAAATCTGGAATTATAAAACTAGTCTCATTGATGATCATGATAACCACTGACGATGATCGATCATCATAAAAAGCCATCTGGTTCACTAATGTCCTTCAGAGAAGGGAATCTGTTGTCCTTGCCTGGTTTGGGCTATGTGTGACTTCAGACACAAAGCAGCATGATTGGCCCATTTCAGAGGGCAGTTAAGTGTCATTCAGTTCAAGGGCAATTAGGCATGAACAACAACTGTTGACCTATCCAGTGACGCTCACATCCATGAAAGAACAAAGAATATTGTGGAACCTGCAAGCATCTGCAAATTTAAGATATATAACATATTGGCTAAATGAGGATCTTTCACGGTTCCCCAAAAGCTGCCATAGGCAAGCAGCAATATGAGTGATGAAAGCAAGTTAAGACCAAGGCTATTGATACCTGCCAACATTAAAGCATGGCAGTGAACTTTCATGTCCACACATCCTAGTTAGAGTCACAGAGATGTACAGCACCGAAACAGACCCTTTGGTCCAACTCGTCTGTGCTAAGCAGGTATTTTAAATTACTCCAGTTCCATTTGGTAGCATTTGGACCATATTCCTCTAAACAGTCCCTATTCATATACCCATCCAGATGCATTTTAAATATTGTAATTGTACCAGCTTCCACCAGTACCTCTGGCAGTTGATTCCATACACATTTTTCTGTGTGAAAAGTTGCCCTTTAGGTCCCCTTTAAATCTTTCCCCTCTCACTTTAAACCTATGCCTGCTAGTTTTGGACTCTGTTACCCGGGGGAAAAGACCTTGACTATTTACTCTATCCATGTCCTTCATGATTTTATAAACTTCTATAAGGTCACCCCTCAGCTTCTGATGCTCCAAGGAAAATAGCTACAGCCTATTCAATTCAAACCCTCCAACCCTAGCAACATTCTTGTAAGTCTTTTCTGAACTCTTTCAAGTTTAACAACATCCTTCCTACAGCAGGGAGACCAGAACTGCATGCAGTATTCCACAAGTGGCCTAATCAATGTCCTGTACAGACGCAACATGTCCTCCAACTCCTAAATTCAATGCATTAACCAATAAAGTCAAGCATACCAAACGCTTTCTTCACTATCCTATCTACCTGCGACTCTACTTTCAAGGAACTACGAATCTGCACTCCAAAATCTCTGTTCGGCAACACTCCCCAGGACCCTACCATTAAATATATATATCCCGCCCTGATTTGTCTTACCAAAAAATACGATCTCACAGTCTCTAGATGAAACTCCACCCGCCACTCCTCGGCCCATCTGATCATGCCTGCAAAAATTTAACGTGGGCCTCCAGTGATTCACTACAATTCCCAGATCTTCAAGTTTTGTAACTCAAATACATCAAATTTTATTGCCACTGCTTTAATATCACGCACCGGACCTCAGGCATCGTGGAATTTTTTTTTCAGTAAACTACCAGGGTCCAGCTACAGCAATGAGAGCCTGCAGCAGATCACAGAATCGATATCAATATCCTTGTACACACAGCACCGTTTATAGCCCTATAGAGGTACTCACACAGTAACTTTGGAACTGAAAATAGTTGCAGGTGCAAAACACGTGGAGAACCGTCACTAATTTGAAACTCTATTTGCCTATTTTAATCGCTGCTTAAAGAAAAGGAATGGTTTCATAAAATATCTCGGTTACCAACATGAATATGGCAAGAACTCTGAACAGACGGACGCCTTACTGCAACGTCGAAAGCCAGTATTTATACCAGTACCAAATTTAAACCTGCCTGCGTATTTATCTTCGGCATAAATGCGCGATTTTCTGTTTCCACCGCCAGAAGAGAAACGTGCTTTGCCGTGTTAACTTGCAGATCCTGCCCATGTGCTAGTCCACGCTGCAACTGCAGCACAGCGGCAAGCCCCGGAGCGCAAACTGAACCGAAGGCACAAAACAAAACACGCACGGAGACACCTTCCCATAAGGAGGCAGGGATACCACCTACCGCAACCCCGGCAGCTTTTACCCCGGGCTGGCAAACTGCTATAGACCGTCCAAGACAAAAATAATACTGACACACATGGTTAACGCGGACAAGAGAGAATAAAACAAAGTCCTTGAGACCGTTTGCTGCTCAGCTTTGAACAGGTTCCCTCCCTCGCAGTCGGCACCCGGGGGGGCAAAGTGACTCCTGGACCCCTGTCCTGAGCTCGTGGGGAGGAAAGAGAGAGGGGGGGGACCGGTTCAAAGCTGAGCAGCAAACGGTCTCAAGGACTTTGTTTTATTCTC